TCTATGCGAAGTCAGCTACAGTTTCACGATGTCTGCAGCATCAGAACTGTTGCCCACTTTATGTGAATGCTCACATCAATGGAATACTTAGGTAAAATTTGGCCTTCTAGTTAATAAAACGACTTTTGTTCCATTGTTTCCGATGCACGGTCGCCTCCAAGAAGAATGTTTGTTCACCAGGGTGCTTGTTAGCAGCTCATTTCAATATGCCCTGTCATTTTATTGGTGCACTGAGGCCAATGGCTCTCGCACGTAACATTAAAGGCCAATCAGAAGAGGCGGCTTGTTCCTACGTCACGCGCCAAATGATACAATTGGCTGAAGCTTGGTGAAAACTAATCGCGCGTTTTGACGGCAAGCCTTTCGTAGCGTTCGCTCTTGTGTTTTAATACATGCAGATCTGAAATAAATTAAAATACATTAGAGTAGTGACTGTTTAAAATATTGTAAATGCCTTAAAAAAGAAAGTAAACCTTTATCACTAATTCGCTAAGTAAGATTAAACTATGCGTTAGGACTTGTTAATTTAGCCAGAAAAAGGGTGTCAGGAAATTTATGCTAACTAATGAAATTTAAATAACCTTTCGTATAGCACAAAGTCAACTGAAAGGGCATTGTCAGTAGCTATGGTTAACACATTTGGCAAAGCACTTTGCATATTTGTCCTCTGTAAACTCATTTTACCTGTGCCTAGCTTGACTGCTCTTTGATGTGGTAAGCTATTAGTGGTTTTGATGCATATTCTAACGTATTTATTTGATTCAACCATTTTATTCATTTGGCCACCTGATTGATGAACCACGCCTTTTGCGTTGGTAATTTGTGAGAATCTAAACAACTTTTGCAGCCCCCAGAATAAGTGACCCATCACAAAGAACAGTAAGTAACCATTTTTGGCGAAAAAATAAGTGCATTCGCTTAGCAAATCGGATAAACTCCGGGGCACTGCTGCAGTGTTTTTTGCTTTCCTTCTGCCTGGGCATAGTGTTTAATGGTAGGCATACATTCATGTGTTCAGGAAGTTTCTTGCTCTTGCTAAATTTGTCTTTGTGAACGTAGGGATTAGGGCTAATATTTTTGCTCAGAAATATGACTTTTCATTCTGACCTGAAAGGCCATTGGTATACTTGCATTTTGACAGGATGCATGTATACGGCAAAACGCATTCTCATCTTTTTTGAACTAACCAAATTGCGAAGCATCACAGGGCTTGAATCATGTAGCAGGCAAGCCCTTAGACAAAGTTGGAAAGTAAATAAGAAGGGAACTTTAAAGTGGGAAATATTTTTGATCGGGCTAAAGGGAGCCAAAGTAATTAAAATAGTGAGTTTCTTGCCTAGGTCAGCTTCAAGCTAGTAAAATATTTAGGGATTACGTGTCAGTAGGGTGTATCGGTACACTCAGCCACCATATTCAGCGCTTATAGAGCTCAAGAGATGAAGAGGAAGGTAGAAGATACTCGCACAGCAAAGAATTGAAGGGAATTTTACCTCACTTTCGTTGTTATTGTAGAAAGTCGCAATTCATCTTGCCACGTGTGATGTATGGCGCGTTGTTCCACTGTGTGGCATTCAACTACACCCCTCTGGCATACTACTGATGGGCAAGTAGTGACCATGGTCAGTCAGCTATCAGTCAAAAAGACGGACCTAAAAGATGGAAAGTGAGTTAGAATTCCAGCACAATATATGGGCGAAATCCACAGCCTAAGACTAACAGTCAGAAAACCAATGAATGCCAACCCACAACATTTTACAAATGCCCTGCCTACTAGAGAGAGATTTTTCACCATCGGCAACAAAAATTAAACGGCCACTGCGTCAAGCTTCGAGGGATAGATACACCTACTCGCTGTTCAGTGGCGTTTTTCACTTCCTTATATTTCCTTAACATCTTTAATGCACCACCTGGATCACTGACCCATTTTCAGAGGTCTATGCGTCGCGTGAATTATGTGTATTTCTATTTTTAGAATGAACATTCACATGACCACACTGTTGAGCGATATGCTGGTTTTCTCTTCGTATCTGTCATGCTTCCCCCAGATCACGTGATTTACCACCTGTAATGTTTTTATGGCCAAGGTCGCGTCACTTATCCACGCATCGATGCAATGACTCACTTTTTTGCAGCATGGCCACGAGACCACTTTGTGAGCCGGTATATCAAAAGGCACATCGCAAGGCCGGGTAAAAAAGTATCGGCGTCAAGCATCAAGCAATGAATTCGTGTTTTAAGTTAGTAAACTGAATGAAGGCTTGGTTATTCGTGGTAAAGGCGCCGCAATTTTAGTCCCCCACGCATGACAAGTTCTTGAGTAAGGAAAGGTCAATTTCAAGGTGGTATAGATTTCAAAGCACTCCTCTCACAACAGGTAACGTCAAAGCATCCAACGAACATGCAATATGTACTAATTTGACACAAGTTGAATGAGTAGATGGGGGCCTTTTCAACGAAATTGTCGTGTTGCTTTTTAGCGCTTGCTTGAAAAAAGGGATTTCGCGCAGCGACGTAAAAATGGTTTTGCCTGTTATACACTATTCAACAGACTCGACGTAATTCCCAACAAATCATCATGAGATGCACTTAATCGTCATGCTGGGTGAATATGCTTGGTTATCTTTCTCTGCATGGCAATCTTCAGGTATTAATTTGAAATTCATCAGTTTATGGAAGGCAAAAATGGAGCGGTCACAATATTGGGAGATGAGAAGAATTCGGGAGGTATTATTTAGACAAATACCAACTCAACATTGCAATAGGAAAGGGGTAAATGAGGAGTGGCTACAATGTCGTTCATCATACCGAGACACGGTATTTGGATAGACAGTGGCGACAATAGTAGAAGTAAAGGCGTAGGACACCTCTTCAACCACTGCTCCACAGATCAGGAAGAGGCTGTCATGGAATTTGATAAATTCTCAGAAGTCATGCCACCTGGATCGAAGACTTGTTAAGTGAGGTAGTATTTAGAGAAGAATAAACCTAAAACTTAGAGTAAGCAAACGTTTGCATTGCCGTTTTTAAATTACAACCGTTTTTTTCTACGTTGCCTTTTAACAACTAAAAGCTCTTTTCGACGATTTGAATGACACTACATAAAAGAGGCTATTAACTGGTATCAAGCTCCGTTGTTCAAGAGTATTCTTGTCACACTTGATGGTTGAATTAAGTTTGGGTCAAATAGTATATGACACATCAATTACTCTTATCATAACTCATACCACTTCATTATTCTCAAGTCTCACAGTTAAGGAGTTCACAATTTGTGTACATTTTTGACTGCATATCGTTTTGTCTGTCTGTCATGAGACCTCTCTTTGAATTAGGTACAAATAGATGATTGTAACAACGCCTCCACAAATTGCCTGTCATGATGCAGACAGAGCGTGTGGTTCAAAACTTGACCTCCCTTCTAGCATGTGTTGGTGCTGTGTTCTTGCACGAAATCATTCAAGCACAGCAGCGTACTTGCTGACAATGAAGAGAACTAAAATGCCTTATTCATAGATTATGGAATGATCTCCTCACTTCTTACATCCTTCAGTCTGCATTTGGGGGCAAATATGGATCTTGGCATGCTCGCTCATAACGTTTAATGAACTCTAGTAAAATAGAGGGATTAGTAATTTTGAACCATCCATGGACTCTATCTACCACAATTTGAGGAGCCCTGTACAATCTCAGCATCGTCGAAGTCATACTCCCCCTCATCACCTTGCTTGTAGTAGGAGTGCATGACTCACCTCCGTCTCTCCTCGAAGGTTAGAGGCATTGTAGGTGGAAAATCGCATCAAAGGTAGTTATATTGCTTAAATTTGCCTCTTTCGTTTTTGCATTGTATGCACTTTCCTTCCTGAATCTTGGACTGGAGAAAAAGAATTTAATTTGGAGATAAGACCCATTTTGCTAAAATGGTCGGCAGTATCCGTTTTTGAATGCAGTGAGGTGTAGATTGGCTAGGTGAATGCATGCGTGATCCTTGTGTCACGGGACATCACATGCCATTTGAGGGACCGGGCACGCCACGAAACGCTAGACGCTGGTGCACGGAAATGAAATGGTGATGGTGGTGGTGGTGGTGAGTAAAACACAACCACATACGAACAGCGACATCTGAGGGTGGATGAGGTCAGCTCAAGACAGTTTAACTTGCAGAGACAACTATGCAATGTGTATCGACAGGGCTCTGTTGTGTGGTGGGGTAGATTGTAGAAGCTTGGTGGATAATGGTTAAGCACGGGAATGAGTGTAAACAGACTTTGTGCAATAGTGGGTTCCATTTCCGCGTCATGCCTGGTGTGGCGATTGCCCACACTATTCGCACTGTTTTACGTGACAAAATTCTTTTAAACCTCTTTACTAGGAGCGCAGTTCGTCCGTAGTCCCTCGTCATCTGTCATGATAGCCACATTATATTCGGCGTGCATTCAGGGTTATAACGTGCTCCAAATTAACCAATGTTAGCAGAGTGCTAGATCAGAATCTGTGTTACCATTTTCCTCCTGTGGGTGTGCATGTCTGCAACATATCCATTCAAGTTTGAGCTAAATACACACATTGAAATCATTTACTAGAAGGAGAATAGTTTTTTTCATGAGCTGGGCGAAACTGGCAAATCAGGGATTGGCGAACACCAGTATGCCAGTTTTTACTTCCAATCATCGGCAAGAAAAATAATCTGAAATGCATATTATGCTCAAATTATTCCTGATGGTCTATAATACACTTATATATTATCAAAATGAAAGCAATCTAGAGGCATACGAAATATGCTTCAAGGGCCACAAGCAACCTCCTCATCGTAGCCCATAAAGTGAATACCATGAACTAAGGGGTAAAATATTAGCCTCTGGTATGTCTATTCTGAAGGTGACGGGTGCAGTGCAAAGGCCATGTTCTTATCTCAGACTTTGCGAATATTACAGCAACTCGTAGAAATTACCATTTGTTAAGTTGATAATTGCATGGCTTACCTAAGGTTCCCTTAACTAAGTTACTCAAACAAACAAATCAGAAACAAAAGCAAAATTATTACTTCTGTTAAATGCACAGGAAATACAATCACTTAGGTATTATCTTGGTCTGAGCGGGGTCAACGTCACAAACTCCTTCAATTCTTTCAGAGATCACATCGAAACAGGCCCATTTTAACAGTTCAGAACACCTAAGCTTCCACTCATGACTCCCGATGCACCATAATCGCCAATTTGCTCCTACAGCAGCTAGCGGAAGTTCAGAATAGTCACCAAAGCTCTGCAGGAATTGCACAAGACAACCCATTTCGCTAGATGCAGCCATCGTTTCATGTACAATGACAGCAATAACCAGTGTTTGTTGAGGTGGAACATGTTCTGAGGGCTCTTAAATCCTCCGTGGAGAATAGCGAAGGATCCAAAAGACAGATTATGCAATCGCAGCAGTCAAGATCGCCTCGTTTCCCTAAAAATAGAATATTTCTGGTAACATAACTTTTATCACTTTGAGTAGATTCTCTAGGCAAGTGGGCCCATGTGTCCTACCATTACTTGCGGCAACTGTAGACATGTTCATTACAGTGTAGTTGGTATTGCCAACATATGGTGATGCTGAGGGAAGTAGGCATTCGCCAAAGGGCAGCGGATTCTGATTGAAGCATGGTAGAAGATGAAAGCGTATGGAATCGTGGTGCCGGTTCTGCGCTAACGTGGCTAAAAGGCGTTGGCAGGAGTCAGTTTGTGCTACATGATATTGAATGGCTGCAGGAGCATTTTGAAAAGAAGCTGGTGAAGGTTGTGGGAAAAGTAGCTGGCAGAGACGCTTGTCCAACCAGGTCCATTGATTGATGTGCTGGCACAGGCGAGCAGAGAATGGCCCTGTTGAAAGTATGCACCTCCAGCCTGGAATACTCATGAAGATATTTACCAAATGGGAGGTATTGAGGAATTCGCATATCTTTAATCTCAGTTCCGGTGGAAGATTGGTTATTTTACGTGGTGAGCTATTTTGTGCCTAAATTGTTAAGAAAGTGTGCATGCGGTAATGATACAAAATCAGATAAACTGAGTATGATGAAAGGAAAATAAGCGAATACGTAGAGAGGAATGAAGACAAATAAATGCAAGGAAATGAATAGCGACTCCTGGAACCTACCATTGTCGAGAGTTGCCAGCATAGACTGACTGCGTGGCCCAGATGTCGAGGATTAAGTAATTAGCGCCATAAGGGGGAGTTTGATTGACCTCACCGTGTTGTTAACACATTGGTTCACTCCATGTTGCATAGTTTGGATGCTTTGTATTCACGATGCTCGCTTAAATACCCTTTGCCCAAAGGCAAAGAATGCAATACAAAAAGGAGAGGACTTACAATCTCCTATGCATAGCCAACTACGTAAACGGACTGCTAATAATTCCTAAGGTAGTCATTGCATGATAAAAGAGTCACTTTTTCGAAAAACGATGGTTTTTATGCACCAGCAAGGCTGTCTTCAAGTACAGGAAATACTATTCTGTAAAACGTAATATTGTTTTGAGGAGCCGAGTTCACAAGAGGCCTGCTATCAACTGTGGCAAAGTGAACAATTTATGAGTTTGGCAAGCCAGTATGTCAGCCTAACTGCAATACGTCAGAATGAGCGAAACAGTGGAGCCTGCACAGACTGGAGTGGATCAAGTGATTCATTTGGCATGTCGCCTTATCCTTTTACGCATTGCATACAAAATTCGTTCCATGTTTGTGTAATGAGTAGCCTCGTCCTTCAGGCACATACGTCACACTACAGAACAAATGATAGTAGTAGGAAAATGCCTATTTCACTTCATTTTATTACAAGAAAATACCATTAAGCACTTTGTTTCCTCGTCTAGGAATTATGTGACAGTTAAGATCCTTGGGTAAGCTCAAGCATTTTCATAAGCACACTATGCCTTAATGACACAGCAACAACTGATCATGTGAGCTGAGTGACTGTGCTTGATGCAAGAATAAACAGTGGATCCAACTAGTGTTAAAGGCTGAAAAAATCTTTGAAAAGGCCTACATTACACATAAAAGCGCATCAATTTACTTAGTGTGCAAGTGGAGTAAAATAAGATGAAGAACAAGTGGTCGTCTCAACTAATCTCGATCATCATTAAATACATTAGCCCTTTTCCGCATTATTATATCAAACCATGAACTTGGAATAATTCCACTCTGTTCCGCCTTCTGCATATTTAGGATCTCTCGAGAACATAACATGTATAATTTTAAGGTAAGGTTTGCCTTTATTTTATTTCATACCACTTTCTTATTTGCACTTAAGGTCACAAACATTGAGGTCCAATGACCCACACATCTGAGGTGTGGCTGCTCGGTCCACCTCGGTCACGAGCCTCATGCCATCCTCTTTATGACGTGACATTGTCGTGATTCTGATGCTGAGTAATATTTTTAGTCCATAGCTAGATGAATTCGTTTGACTTCGTGAGGATAGACATTTTTACTCGGATAAATGAATAATAAACAGTATGGTTTGAAATATGAAACTAATGGTTTGCACAGCGTTGGAGTAATATTTTAATTTCTTATTTCATAAATCATGCATAAAATTGATGGAAAAGATATCGTGTAGGTGTAATATGTACAATTGTCTGTGCATAGTGGAATATCAGTGGGAGTCCTGCTGGTTTCCTCTTCTGTCATGGTGCTATGGTATTCCAAGTGAAACAGCCCAGTTAATTACATTAAACTCAGTAATCAATTGCTCGCAGAGGTCTTAGTTAACTGCTCCTTTACTAGACCGGCTAAGGCAAAATACCATTTCGAATAGTGCGCTAGCTTTAAATATGTCAAAAGATTGCCAAAATCATCGGCTTAAAAATGGCTTTAAGAATATGGCATTTTCCTGCTCTTATTAACATAGAGAAAGCGTGTGCAACTACTTTCCCCATAACCCCCTGCAAACATTCGCCTCACAATCCCCAGCACCTTCGAAAGTAGTGCTCCGCATGCCAATCAAAACCTTGAGGTGTGATACCCCGATTTGATAGCAATGTGGTCCCCAATACAACGATCATTTTGAGGGGTTAAAGAAGCCCTAAACCAAAGATATCAACGCCACGTGACACATACTTGCATGCATTGCTATGTCATCGCTGTGTCGACCAGCAGTTTGTGTAATTTAAGATAGGCTATAGTGCTCCACATGCTTATAGTAGTCGTACCACACATAAATGAAGACAAAAAATCATTCCGAATTTGCTGAATTGTGCGGACAGATGAGAGAGATGGATTTTGGTCGAACCTTATCCTGGTCCAATGCTCCTCTTGGCATTACGTTATACGATTTTCCTCCTCCACCATTGCTCGACTT